GCCATCAGCCCAGAGCCTGATGCGGGGCTCGAACTCACGGACCGCGAGATCATGACCTGGTTGAAGTCGGACGCTTAACCGACTGCGCCACCCAGATGCCCCTAAATTGGATTTAAAAGCACTTGTGAGATTAAATGCAAACACAGAAGTTGTAAAGGGATAGCATTTCACAAGCCATTTGAGACACTACCTGCTATGGGATATTAACTTTGCTACAAGAATTAAAGGCCAGTGACATAGAATTCTTCTAATTTTGATGAAAGCCAGGAACTACCTGCATCAGTTCTTGAAAGCCCTCTCTGTTTGGAGACTTCCACTTGTTCAAAGTAAGTAAGAAAAATTAATCACCCTAGGTGTCACACAGGGGAATATACATATGAAGATTCAACAAGTTATATCCCCTTAAGATTTATGCACATTACTGTCTGAAAGTTAGACACTGATTTTGAAAAGGTAACTAATGACCCTTGTTTAAAATAGCAAAAGAAAAAAATTCAGAAATAACCTCAATGTCCAACAACAAGCGATTGGCCAAATAAATGGCTCTGTGATGAAAATATGATACAGCTAATTAAAGATCCTGTTGTTAATACTTTGGTACGTGGGAAAACTTTTCATGTTGTAACATGAGAAACCCAAATGATAAAATTATATACCCATTTTGATCTCATTTATATAAAAAATACATAGAAATAGAAAAAAGAAAATATATCAAAATATTAATAGTGATTTAACTCAGAGAACAAATTATGGATACTTACTTCCTTATTTATGTGTTTCTGTTTTTCCTAATCTTCAATCAAATGGTTATTATTTTTAAAAAAGTATTACTAAAAATTTCTAACCACAAAAAAGAGTCCCACTTCAGAACCATCAATTTTTAAAGAAAATGAGATTTCTTTCTCCTTCTCCTTCCCTTTCTCTCTGGTTTTAGATGTTTTGCTCCTATCATGAACATTAGCACAAAGGAAGTTCTAGCTTATTTTTTAAATTCATTCAACAAATATCTGTTTAGCGCCTACCAAATGCCAGGTGCTGTTCAAAACTAAACAAAATAAAACAAAAACAAAAGCTTTGCCCTTACAAAGTTTATTTGGAAAAGATAATAAAGAAAAAAGGAAAACATATTAAGTAGTGATAGTGCAATAGATAAAAACAAATCAGGGAGAGGGGATTGAGAGCACAAAATGCTCTCAGTTTTAAATGGGGGGGGGGGGGGGGAGGAACAAGGTCTGAAGGAAGGAAGGAGGAAGCTAGGGAGCTCTCTGGGAAAGAGAGTTCCAGGACCCAAGGGGGAAGTCTGTCTGGTATGTTCAAGAACAGCACAAAGGCAACATGTCTGAAATAAAGTAGGAGAAGTCAGAGAAATTCTGGTTGGATGAGTCTTGTAAGCCATGTTTTTAAAATGTGGCCTTTTACTGTAAGATGGGGAGCCACTGCAGAATTTCGAGCAGAGAAATGACATTATTCTATTTGAGTCAAATTTTAATAGATAATACTGACACCACATAGAAATGTAAAGATGGATGGAAATTCAGATGGATGCACTAATGCTTCGGCAAGGTTTGACTTCAAGCTGAACAAAATTTTCTCTTCCTCATTCTTGAAGCCTTCTCTTTCCCTTCACTTATTTTTCTGTAGAATCCTTTGTCCCAAGAACTTGGTATCGATGCTGATACTTAGTCACAAGTCTCAGATGGCCCACACCAGCACTAGTCATGAGATCACCTTGAAGGCATGAGGAACGTGGCTGGCAGCACGTACCAGATTCCTAGTGAAACCACCCAGATCAGCCTTTTACCCTGGGCAGGTCTACAGTTTTGAAGGCAGTAGCCTGCTCTAACCTCCTTTGCCTTAAAGTAATAAAACTCGGTCCCCTTTATCCCCAAACTTTGTCTTCCAGTTATATTTCGGCTACAGAACACAGAAGTTGGTTTTTGACAACAGTACTGGCTGGAATGTGGAGAAAGGCCCACAGTGGTGGGCTTACCACAGCAGATGTAAAAAGGAGATTCAGAGGTCCCCGCAACACCCCAGGCAAGGCATGCAGACGGCACAAATGAAAGAGGTGAGGGGTCAGCACAGATCATGAAAGGAGATAGCATCTGCCTAGAGAGGTGTGAGATGTGAGAAAAAGAAAGGGACAGAGAATGACTCCAAGCATTTTGGCCCCAGAAACTGGAAGGATGGAGTTGCCATTAACTGAAATGAGAAAAGAATGTGGGAGGAGTCGGTTTGGGGGAAAGAACACGTTGGGGACATTAGGCATCTAAGCAGAGTGTTAAGTCTGTTGAATACGTAAGTCTGGAATTCAAGGAGGAGAAAGAATGAAACTAGGGGTGCAGATTTGCGAAGAAGGGTGAAGCTGCAGATACATATTTGTGAGCTGAGTATATACAGGTGATGGCGTTGGAAGCCAGGAAAATGAAGAGAGTAATTTAGGAAGCAAATATGGACACAGAAAAGATCCACAGAATAAGGAACAAGCACTTCGCCAGTTGGAAATTGGTGAGATGAAAAGGAACCTGCAAGGGGTATCAGTAAGAAGGAGCAGATAGTAAAGCAGAGGAAAACTAGGAGAGTGTAACCTACTGAAAGACACTGTTTTAAGTAAGAGCAGCTGGTCAGTTGTGACAAATGCTGCTGTTAAGTCAGGTTAAATGAGAATTGAGAAGCGGCCTTCAGACTCAACAACATGAAAGTCACTGGTCACTTTGACAAGTGCATTTTGGTGGGGTTGGGGGAGTGAAAGCCTGATTGGAGTGGGTTCACAAGTGACAAAGGGGAGGACCAGGAGTGGACATATTGAGTATGACAATTTTTTAAAGAAGATTACTATAATGGCCGGGGGTTGGGGGGAGGACGGGAGGTGGGCAGGGTAACAGGGCCATAGCTAGAAGGGGATACGTGTGCCATCTTAAGATATGGGAGTCTTTTTGTTTTTTGGTTGTTGTTTTTGAGGTGGGTGTTAATTATAGCATATTTGTATACTAATGGGACTAATCAGGAAGAGAGGGAAACATTAAAGATAGAGAAGAAAGAGGGAATATTTGCTGAAAATATCTCAAGTAGATATGTGGGGATGTAACAGTACACAAGTGGAAAGACTTGCCTTGGGAAGAGACAGTTCATCCACAGGAAAAGCTGGGAAGATAGAATGTATGAGCACAGCTGCAGGGCGTGGGTAGATGTAGGGGTGAGAGCTTGAGTTCTCTTCTGTTTGCGTCTACTTTTTTGATTGTTTGCTTGCTTGCTTCTAGTTTTTAGAAAGCAAGTTCATCAGCTCAGAAAGAGGATGGTGAGATACTATTAGACAAATGGGATAGAAGACAAAGTATAGAACAATTATCTACTAAGACAAGAAGGGTGAATCAGCTACAGAAAACAGTAGTATATTCAGTGAGCAAAAACTGGTCAAGGTGGGCCACCTGGGTGGCTCAGTGGGTTAAGCATCTGACTCTTGATTTCAGCTCAGGTCATGATCTCACAGTTTGTGAGATTGAGCCCCACTTGAGGCTCTGTGCTAAGAGCACAGAGCCTGCTTGAGATTCTCTCTCTCCTTCTTTCTGCCCCTCCCCCACTCATGCTCATGTCCTCTCTCTCTCTCTCTCAAAATAAATAAATCAACACTAAAAAGATGATCAAGGTATCCTTCTTAGTCTAGTAAGGAATAAAATAGAATAAAAGAGGGGCGCCTGGGTGGCGCAGTCGGTTAAGCGTCCGACTTCAGCCAGGTCACGATCTCGCGGTCCGTGAGTTCGAGCCCCGCGTCGGGCTCTGGGCTGATGGCTCAGAGCCTGGAGCCTGTTTCCGATTCTGTGTCTCCCTCTCTCTCTGTCCCTCCCCCATTCATGCTCTGTCTCTCTCTGTCCCAAAAATAAATAAACGTTGAAAAAAAAAATTAAAAAAAAAAATAGAATAAAAGAAAGAATATACCTTTGAATATAGATTTTGTGTACATTTGTGTTTTTGCTGACATGCCAGTCACTCTTCAATACACACACACACACACATAAAAAGCAGAAGACTATGCTGGATTTAAAGGAATATAAAACAAGATACAATGTGTGGCCCTAGGTTGGATACTGATTTGGACAATCCAATGTAAAATACCTTTTGGGGAACACTGGGAAGATTTGAATATTATCTGGGTAATTGAAGAAGTGAAACTTTACTGAAATAGGTAGACTGTTGACTAAAAAAAAGAAAAAACAAAACAAAAACAGGCTGTAGAACAGTATATGCAGTACAATTTTGGTTTAAAACAATGCATGTGTGCACATGTACATAGAAAAAAAGAATATATACTAAGATATGTATATCGGTAATCTATAGGTGGTGAAACTATAATATTTTTTATTCATTTTTGCTTGCTTATATTTTCTACTTTACTTACAGGGCACAATACTGCTTCTATGATAGTATAATAATATTACTTTTTAATCGGTTAAATAAGAAAAACTAAAAATGCAGTCAAATTATCATTTGATAATGATAATTATCAGGCTCAGCAAACTAGAGCCTGTGGGTTAAAGACAGCTCACAGCTTGTGTTTTGCATAGAACGTAAGCAAAGAATTTCAGATTTTTAATTTTTTACCTATTTTACTTTTTATACGTTTAATGGTTAAAGAAGCAGTAGAAAAACGGTATTTCGTGACACGTGACAATGTTTTATTTTCATTCAAATTTCAGTATCAGTAAACGGTTTTATTGGAACACAGCCAAGTCCTGGCATCGTCCTTGCCTGCCTTTTCACCATGGTGGTGCAGATTACAAAGGCAGAGTGGATTGCATAGTTGCATCAGAAACCGTATCTCACCATCTGACCCTTCACGGAAAAAGTTTGCTAACCCCAGAAAGAGGATAAAACACTAAGATGGTAGTAGATTCATTTAAATCTAAAAAAAAAAGAACTAGACTCACACTACTCATTAGGAAAATTAGTGGCAAACAAAACAAAAACCAGACACTTATTCATACTCATCAGACTGAAAAAAAATATGGACAAAAGGAAAATCTCCTACACCGACAGGAAGGTGCACTGGCACGACTACTTTATACGGCATTTGGCAACATTTAGCAAGACAAGGCTGTGCGTAGCCTGTGACCTAGCAATTCCACTTCTAGGGATACGCCCCGGAAAACTCACACAGGAAGACATTTACAAGATGTGTATTAAGTGGTGCCTGGAGGGGTTAATATATATAAAAGTTCCTTACATATATTAATCCCTCCCGGCACTGATGTAATAAAAAACTTCAAATGTTTCTATAAAATTTTGTTCCTTCAAATAAGCTGTGAGGCCTGATGACACAATGGTTAACATTGGGTAACTCACTTAGCATTCTTTTCAGCATCTAAGAGAGCTTGTGCCAAATCCCTGTGGGCCTTCTCTGCTTCCTTTGTTAATTTCATATCATGTGCCCGAACCAGACACAGCTCCCTGAAATAAAGCAAAGAAAGTTTACATTCATAGTTGAAGAGTTCCAGGAAATCGGATTTGTATACGCAGGAATCTTCTCAGTTATGGGTACATCTCTCCCTAGTTTTCACCCCTTAGAAACCAAATCAAGAAATCTAGCATACATTTGGATGGAATTCGGGCAGGTTTGGCAATGGAATCAGGTTGGCTAGAAAGGGCAGAAAGATGATGTGGGAGATCCTCCAGAATGGAGAGAAGGCAGACGCTAACAGGCCAGGCCACCAGGCTGCTCCGTTCTACCTTCTGACATGCCTATCTTACCCTTTTCATTCTTGCCACTAATCATCTTGTCACAAGCTTAGATGATCACTAACCTTGACTGCTACTTAATGCCTATCCTCCTCTTTGGGATTTAAACCTTATCATCTGTAATCACGGCACTTGTAAACATGATTAAGATCTCAACATCTCAGGCCTGGAAGGAGAACAGGAGCCTCTTCCCTATCAAACACACGCACAGCCCTGGTTTTGTGTTAACCTTTGTAACCCACGTCTCTACATCTACATCCAGTCCTCTCCGTTCTCTTCCTAAACCCCACAAAAGAAAAAAAAGAGTCCTCACTTTTAACCATTCTACTTTCCCCGTTTTTTATTCTCTTTAAAGACATGGCTTTGGCCTGTGTTTTGTGTTTAAGATAATCACAGATTTTACCTGGTCAGTTCTTCAGTAACATTCTTAAAATTGTACAATTCTTCCAAAATGCGCTGGTCCATTATTCGCTGAGTTACCATGTCTTTGTAGAAGTCGATCGTCTGCCGGGCAATTTGGTCAAGCATTTGTACATACCGCTCTCTGCATGAGACAGAAAGAAAACAAGGTATCATGCAAAAGAAAAGGAAAAAAAGAGCCAGAAAATATGTGAGAGAGAAAGTAATGTTAGGGAAAGAAATAGGTAGACACTCATGAAAGATATGTGAAAAGAACAAGATAGGAAAAGAAAGAGATCTAACCTGTGTTTTCCTGCCATGCTCACACAAGTAAATGAATTGTGGAGGACTTTAACCAGACTCATAATTATGTGGAACATACTGTCTGAGATATAAAACAAAATAAGGACTTCTTTTATTTTTTCTTCTAAATTATAAACTCTATGAGGATAAAAACCATGTCTTATGAATTTATATACAATGGAGTTTTTATAAATAGTTGAATTCATGAATAAAACCACTTTTCTCAAGTTGGGTAAATGTAAAAATATACCAACTGTTTAAAAATGAACAAAGACCTTAAATACAAAGAAGTCATTTGTCTCAGTTTTGAATGAAACCAAATATTTGGAAGGATTACAAATGATAAATTTCAAATACCATGCTGAGCAGTGTTTATTTATATTAAAAGTGATCAAGCACAGCTGGGAAGATGGCGGCGTAGGAGGACGCTGGGCTCACCGCGCGTCCTGCTGATCACTTAGATTCCACCTACACCTGCCTAAATGACCCAGAAAACCGCCAGAGGATTAGCAGAACGGAGTCT